TCTAATTGTTCTCAGAAGAGGTGCAGATTATTCATCTGAGAAATGTTTTTCCAGAATATTTATCAAATACCTGTTAATATGCCAGAGATTGTGTTAGGCTCTGAGTATAGAGTGTATATGATACTTGATTTTTGGACTGGAACACGAAGTGTTCCCCGGATTCTTTGTTCATCTGAGTCGAAGAATGATCCATGGACTGAAGATGGTATAGCAAAGGTGGGAATTTATTGAAGAGTAAGTACAGACACCCACGTGGGGAAGGGGAAAGAATCTCACAGCACAGACTCCCATGGATTTCCTGTTTCCCTCATTTATAAAGACTGCAGTGCCTGTGTCCTGATATCCCCTCTGATTGGTCAATATTCCCTTTTGAATTGGTTACTATAGTAACTCCTGAGTTCAAAGGTCAAACATCACATGGGACAAGTGATGCCCTCTTCCCTCATTGTTCTTCTATGCCTTCTGGGCTTTCTTCCTCCTTTATTTTGTAAATATAGACCTTTTGTTACTCCCAGTTCCCTTATCTTATGCAAATGTAACTGTTGCTGCTTTCTTGTCTTATGGAAATGTAACTTCTCCCAGTCTCCCTTGTCTTGTGTGCCTGGCTATCTTGTGTTTTGGAAATGTAACTTCTCCCAGTCTGTAGCCTGTGTGTTTTCTTTTATGGACCCCCAATTCTAAAAATTCCCTAAAACTGCCTATATCTCCCTAAAATTCCGATTTCATATACTTGGAGGATTGATAGAATATAAAAAATTATAAAGAGATTAATATAAGATTTCCCTATAATTCTCCACTCTGCTACAAGAATGGTCAGCCTAAAATAAAAAATAGTCATGTCACTCTTTTATTTTAAACTAGAGGCCTAATGCACAAATTTGTGCATGGGTGGGTCTGGCCAGCCCACCCGGATCAGGGTGATTTGGCTGGGCCGGCCAGGGGGAGGGGCCTTGGGCGGTTGGCCAGTAGGCCCCGCCCCCTGGTTGAACTCCCAGTCGAGGGGGTAATTTGCATATTAACCTTTTATTATGTAAGATGCTTTAAGATTCTCTACAGCAGTGGTTCTCAACCTTCCTAATGCCTCGACCCTTTAATAAGGAGTTGCGACCCACAGGTTGAGAACTGCTGCTCTACAGCTTTGGCAGAGGGGGGCGGGGATGGGGGGGAAATTAACTTATCTCACAGGAATTGTGTTTTGAGTTTTTTAAATCTTGAAGTCTTATTTGACTCTCCCTTTCTGTTTGGATTCTTTCACAAACATGTCATGAGGTCTTAATATGGCAATTGTTTCAGAAAAACATAGGGTACAACATAATTGCTATAACAAAATACCATAGACTAGGAGGACACAGAGATTCAGTCCATAACACACCACAAGTAGAATCCTTAATCCTTTATTTCACCTCCACCTTTTCAGGGTCAAATCAAGTGACACAAAATATTTAATATTGACTTTTTTGTACTACCTACTTCTCCTGAGTCCATATATTTCCTCCTTAAACTTGGATTATAAGAAAATAAAAACAACCCTAGGTGAACCCTAACAAACTCTGTTTTCCCTCCTCTAAACTCACTGGATGTGAATCTTTTTGGCACATGTTAACATTTAGCGCATATTAGGATGCTGCTTCTGTGTTGGAGCCGGCTGGATAAGGTAAGAGCCTAGTGGGAAGTGTGTGAGCTCTCTGCAGAACGGGGAGGTTATCCTGTTCCCCAGGTTAGCCACAGAGCAAGGTAGAACCTTGAATGAAAAAACTGAGTAGCAGTCTTTAGTAGACAGACAAAAGAATCAGGCCTCTTTCTCTTGACCAGAACAAAGTGTGTAATTAAGGGGAAGAGAGGGTCTCTACTCAAATGAAGATGACTAAGCTGGCAGTAAAGGGTCACACGAAGGAAGATTTGAAGTGAAGACTTGAAGAAAATGGAACAAGCCCTCTGGCTACGTGGAGAAGAGCGTCACAGAAAGAAGGAGGAGCACATCCATGCAAAGCCCTGGTGTGTTTGAGAAAGCATACAGTGTAGCTGGAGCAGAAGGGAGGAGAGATTAAATGGTAGGAACTAGGGTCAGAGGGAAGCTGGTTGCTCGGGAATCAGATCGCATAGGGCCTTGCACGCCAATATGAAAACTTTCCTTCTTACCCGGTGCAAGATGACAAGATGTTGGATAAATCAGTCAGGGCTGGCTTCATGGGTGTGTGTGTGACTTGTGTAGGACGGGGCTCCATGCTTAGAAAGACCTCAAGCTTTTAATATGCTGCAGTTGCCATCTTTTAACCTTCAATTTGTGTGTTATAAGTGAAGTCCCAGGAAGAGGAGGAATATTAACATATATTGTTTATCGTGTGTTTAAATGTGCTGGACACGATGTTAAACAGTTTACATGCCTCATTTTATTTATTCCTGGCAACTGCATCAGTTGCTAGAGACTGTTATTATTTCTATTTTACAAATGTTAAACACGAGGGCCAGGAAGGTTAAATAACATGCCCAAGGACACCTCTGGCTGAGTCTGAACTCTGAACTCTTACCCATTATGTCAGGTGTACTGGTTGTGATAGAACAGGTGATATTAAAATCTACATTCTGAGATGTGAATATAGATTAATGGGATTAAAGACTCTTGAGATGAACATTGTTTACAAAGCCTAGTAATATGCATTATCTCATTTAATCCTCATATTAACCCTGTGTATTAGGCAATTTGCCCAGGTCGTGGTGGGGCAAGTAGCAGAGCTTAGAGGTGAATGCTCCTCCGACCTCCTGCTTCCTTCCACTAACTTCTAGGGATGGTTCAGACAGATACTTTAGAGAGTCCAGCCAGTTTTGAATAAATGTTAATAAGGAAACCATTATTAGTTATTTCTTTCTTAGAACCTAACAGGATAAGTTTCATAATTCCTATGTTTCCATGGGAACACTAGTACAGAATGTAGCATTCTTACTGTTGTGCAATGTTCTTTCTATAAATTCATGCGTTCACTCAACTGCAATTTATTGAGCAAATAGCCTGTGCAGGCTCTATGCTTAGTGCAGAATATGTGATAAAATAAGAAACAAAACTTCAGTGAGCTCAGGCCTTCTGAACCTCAGATACTCTGCAGAACCTTTCACACCTGGTTGAAACTTTATGGCACTGCTTTCGACCTACCACATACTGTATCCCTTAGGACCCAGTTGCCTAAGAGATCATTTCTCTCCCCATTGGTTTGGCACAGAATAAGTTCAGTTGTAGTGCCTTGGAGATGGAATCTTAGATTTGGACCTTGGGGAAATAGAACCAGAGTGTTTTCCCCAAAAGGATTTTTCTACTCCAACAGGGTCCAATTTTAAAGCTAGATTTGAACATAGACTCTGCCTGGCTGAATGGTACTGCATTTACCCTCATTCACCACCTGATCATGCCTTTTTCTAGAAAAACTGGACTTGTACATGCCAAGTAAGGCAGTGCTCAGGGCACCAGTTTAGGAATAAAGAATGATGCCTCCAGGGGTGGGGCAAATTCCACTTTGTCCAGGTTGGATGAGCTGGAGCACAACAAAATGTCTGGGGTGGCTATTTCTACATGCAGAGACATTTGTGCATTCCTACTTCAGAATGCTACTGATTAAGAATGGCACATAACACTAGTTCGAGCTGAGCCTGGTGTCTATGACAGGGAAGGAGGAGGGTGTTATGTTTTGCCTCCAGATTTGGAAGACCATAGTGTAACACGTGTCGCCTCACTTCCCTCTGGTCCTAAAACATGTGACTCACAGTATAATTTAAGAATTGCACTCCCTTACTCTCCCATTGCAAGAGTTCGGTAAGACAAATTATAAAAAAACCTAAATTTTCTTATTTTTTCAAAAATATATTTTATTGATTTTTTACAGAGAGGAAGGGAGAGGGATAGAGAGCTAGAAACATCGATTAGAGAGAAACATTGATCAGCTGACTCCTGCACACTCCTTACTGGGGATGTGCCCACAACCAAGGTACATGCCCTTGACTGGAATCGAACCCGGGACCCCTCAGTCCGCAGGCTGACGCTCTATCCACTGAACCAAACCGTTCAGGGCTAAATTTTCTTATTTTTTAAAAAAGACATGAGGATCTTATATGCATTGAGTTTTTAACAATCTTTTTCAAGCAGCAAACTATTTTATATTCTCTTTATATCTAATTTGGTGAACCACTCTGATCACAGGTGTAATTTATTCGAGTCGTTTCGGGAGTCGTGGGACCATACATCAAGTCTGCAACTCCTATAGCATTACGAGAAGGTAATTCTGGTTTTGGAGGAGGGACGTGACATTCCCAGCTTCCCGGAGATCTCCGCCACAGGCTCAGCCTTCGGGCAGGTACTTTCCCGCGGCCGCTGGCCCCGCCCCGCCCCGCCGCCTAGCCGCGCTCCGAGCCGCCGCTCTGCGAGCAGCACAGCACCCCACCCGCGGGAGGTGGGGCCCAGGGCCGCCCGCCCGCCACTCCTCCGGGCTTGGACGCTTCTGGGCCGCGGAGAGCGCGTGGGGAGTACTGGCCGGGCGGCGCGGGCCTGGGCCGCGGAGGGCGCCCGAGCTGCCTCCTCCCCCCACTGAGCCAGGTGCCGGGCCTACCGGAGAAGCCGGGAGCCTTTTGGCTGTCCGCTTCTACCCCCCGAGGGGCGGGCTCCGGGCTCCTGGTTTCCGGCAGACCCGCCCACCCTCCGCGGCCGCCACGGCCCAAGGCAGTGCGCTCCGCTCTGCGCCTTTACGGGCTCTGCACACCATCTCCCAGCTCAGCTCTCCACGGCTGGGCACACCCACTGCGACTACCAGTTAAACCCAGTCTCTCAACCCTCTCCGGCCCCAGCCGCACACCCACCCTTCTCAGGTACCCGCAGAACAGAACGAATACAAAGAGGCCGGCGCCTCCCTAGCCTGGCCACCGCCACACCCGCCGGGACCCTTCCTCTCGCACCCTCCTGCCCCGCCCACCATGGTCGGTCTAAGACTCGAATTCACCCAGTGTTCCCCGAAACCCCGGGATCTGTCTCCTCTGCAACCCCGCGGCCGCTCCTCCCGACCCCAGGGACAGCCAAGCCCACCACCCTCACTCGGCGGCTCGGCTAGGTCCCGGCCCCTCCTCCGGGGCCCTCCTCTTCCCTCGCCCCTCCCGAGCCGGGGTGGGAGCGGCGGCAGCTGGAAGAGAAGGGATGAGGTCATCCTCTCCCTCGGAGTCAGCTGGTGGAGGAGAGGAAGAGGGAGGAGGGAGCGCGCGCGAGGGGAGGAGAGGAATGTGCCTGTCCGAGGAGCGCCGGGGTGGCCGCTGCTGCTCCAGCTGCTGGCGGCGGCGGCGACTCGGGCGGCAGCGGCGGGGCCGGGACGGCCAAGAGCGCGGGCGGCAGGCAGGGGCGCGCGTGGGGCGCCGCCAGCAGCTTGGCTCCGCGCAGGCAGCCAGGCGGCGCTCCTGCCGGCCCCAGGCGCGCCGCTAGCCCGGCCCAGCGCCCAGTACGGCGGGCGGTGGCAGGCGGCGGGCGGCGGGCGAGCCGGCGCAGGAGCAGGAGGAGGGGGAGCCGCGACGCCAGGGAGGGAAGCCGAGGCGAGGCGAGGAGGTGGCGGGAGGAGGAGACAGCGGGGAAAGGTGTCAGATAAAGGAGGGTTCTCCTCCGGTTTGGAGGCATCATGGCCGCTAAGTCAGACGGGAGGCTGAAAATGAAGAAGAGCAGCGACGTGGCGTTCACCCCGCTGCAGAACTCGGACCACTCGGGTTCGGTGCAGGGATTGGCTCCGGGCTTGCCGTCGGGGTCGGGAGCCGAGGACGAGGAGGCGGCTGGGGGCGGCTGCTGCCCGGACGGCGGCGGCTGTTCGCACTGCTGCTGCTGTTGCTCGGGCAGCGGTGGCTCGGGCGGCGGCTCCGGGGGCTCCGGCGGCCCGGGCGGCAGCGTTGGTGGCCCCGGCGGCGGGGCAAGCTCGGCGGCGCTGTGCCTGCGCCTGGGCGGGGAGCAACGGCGCTACTCGCTGTGGGACTGCCTCTGGATCCTGGCCGCCGTGGCCGTGTACTTTGCGGACGTGGGCACGGACATCTGGCTTGCCGTGGACTACTACTTGCGCGGCCAGCGCTGGTGGTTCGGACTCACGCTCTTCTTCGTGGTGCTTGGCTCGCTCTCAGTGCAAGTGTTCAGCTTCCGCTGGTTTGTGCACGATTTCAGCACCGAGGACAGCGCCGCCGCTGCCGCCTCCAGCTGCTCGCAGCCTGGAGCCGATTGCAAGACGCTGGTTAGAAGTGGATCTGCAGCCGCGGAAGGAGAGGTTCGTCCTTCCACGCCTCAAAGGCAAGCATCCAACGCCAGCAAGAGCAACATCGCCGCTCCCAACACTGGCAGCAACAGCATCGGGGCCAGCGGCAAGCACAGGTCTGCCTCCTGCTCCTTCTGCATCTGGCTCCTGCAGTCACTCATCCACATCTTGCAGCTCGGGCAGATCTGGAGGTACCGTATCAGGGGTGGGGGAAGAGGGAGATTTGCTGCTGCTACTACATTCCCACTGCTTTGCTTTTGCACGAAATCGTTTAGGGTTGCTGTGGTAGTAACCCTAGTCATACTCTCTCAGTTTTTTTTTTAAACTGGGTCCTGCATTTTTAAAATTTGTGATCACAACCTAGGGTGGGAGGGAAGTGAGAAGGGAAAGGCAGCAAAGTGGTTTTGCTCACCTCATCCCTCTGTCTCCCCACTCTGCTTCACTGGTATCTCTCTTTATATGCTACAACCCTTCCCCCTCACTGTTTCAGTGAGTAGGAGAGGATCCTTGTCACATCATGTGAAAATCCTTGTTTATTATGTTGTTGAATTTGAGGTGTATGTTGCAATTTGGATGGCTTCTTTTGTTCCCTGAGAAAAACTGCTAATTCTAGTTAGGTGGGAGCTGTTGCTGCTGAAAAGTACCCACATTTTAATGATCACTGCTAGAGGAGTACTGTGCTCCCAGTAAAAACCTTAGTAGGGCCACGGCTTGCCTTTTTTTTGAGAATATCTAATATCTCTGTATCTCCGAAAATGAGTTAGTACACTTTACGGGACCCAGACTTCACTTTTCTGATGGCACTTTGTGGTTATCTTGCAATATCACCCTTATCTAATTGCTCATATAACTAAGAACACTTGGAAAAGGGGTGCTGCGTCTTGTAAACTTTCATCATTCTTGGCATCTTCTTTGCTACTTGTCATCTTCCCTACCAAGTCTCCTTACACGGGTATCACTTCCACTTTCAAACTGGAATATGAGGCTGAACTTGTCAGGCAGAGGGAACCATCATTTGAGGAGTCACTGCCTGGATTTAGGTATATAATGGAACAGTATACTCAGGAATGTGTTCCTAGGACTTTTATATGTGTTTAAAAGCTTTTGAAGCAGTATTTTACATCTACAAAAATTCTTTGTATCAAAGGATTTACATGCTTACATCCCAGAGCTTTTTGGTTTAAATTGACTTACTCTAAGTAAAATGATGAAAAATCCTACAAGTGTACCGGGCTACATTCTGCTATGTCAGTGTCCTTTTCAATTTCATGTATAGTTATTTTATACTAGGTGATAAGATTAACTTTGTGATAAGTTAATAATCATTTGTAGAACAGAACCAAAAACTTATGCTTGTTTGTGATGAACAATAATAGTGTTTTATTGAAAAGAGCAAGTTCAGTGATTAATTTTGCAACCTTTCCTGGGACTATTGCTTTGTAAATCAGGGTAAGCATTGCCATAGACAGTGACCTTTGAGATTGTGAAACTTTTATTTTTAAGCAGATACTTTCTAGAAAAGTGGTATATAATATGCAGTCAGACAAATTGATCTCGGAGACCTCCATATCTTGGACTCAAAGGACTTTATAAAATGTCAGTTAAATGTGATTGCTGTATTTCCTATGGTTGACTGTTGTGAAGATGTACAGCTTAGTGCTCTTCTTCAAGTTTGATGAAAAACTCTAATGCTTGATTTAATTACTGAAATTGTTTAGTGGCTAGAATGCATATGATTAGCAGTTTTAATCTGCTTAGCATTGCATTTGGTAACTTTTGCAAACTTTATGCACAATTTGGAAATCACTTTTAATCACCTTTAAAATTCTAGATATATATATATCCATTATATATATATATCCATTATATATATATATCCATTATATATATATATCCATTATATATATATATATATATAATCCATTATATATATATATAATGCAAACCCTTCTCAGTCTATTAACTGAATAATTATCCATGTTTCCTACTGATGGATACTTGATGGGAAATTGCTATCAAATTCTGTGAACTGAGGAAGTTGTTTTAATTGCAGTTATATTTACCACTCCTTCTACATCAAATCCCAATTAGAAATGATGTTTATTATCTCAAGACATAAAATGTGGGAAGTGGGAAATAAGTAAGAAAAGGGCCTAACACATCTCAATGAGACCACAGACACTGGGTCAACTGGTCATACAGATAAGCTATGAAAGGGGAGGAGGAAAAGAAGGGTAAGGCTGAAGGCAGAAGGAAAACCACAGGCTGTCAGACAAATGCGCTAACTGATCCAGCCCTTGGAGAAACATGTTCACAAATGATACCCTTTTGTTAAGCATTTCTACAGTGTTTTCCTGAGAGGCTCTAAAGCAGCGGTTCTCAACCTGTGGGTCGTGACCCCTTTGGGGGGTCGAACGACCCTTTCACAGGGGTCGCCTAAGACCATCGGAAAACACATATATAATTACATATTGTTTTTGTGATGAATCACTATGCTTTAATTATGTTCAATTTGTAACAATGAAAATACATCCTGCATATCAGATACTTACATGACGATTCATAACAGTAGCAACATTACAGTTACGAAGTAGCACCGAAAATAATTTTATGGTTGGGGGTCACCACAACATGAGGAACTGTATTAAAGGGTCGCGGCATTAGGAAGGTTGAGAACCACTGCTCTAAAGTTTCTTCTGCTAATGCATGGTCACCTGGGAGGAAGTATTGTTGGAAATATTTTTAGATATTTATCCACATTTCAGAATAATGTGTTTAATATGTAAATCTGAATTATCTAATATAACCGTTCCTGGATTCTGGTTCAGGTGTTTGGGGGATGGTAGGGTAACTGAGTTCAAAGCATGATCTGAGACAGCCTCATTTTCTTAAAACTTTAACCTGACTTGAAAGGGGTTCAGAAAGTTCATTGAATTGAATACTCAGATGCAACTTAAATAGTTTCATCTTCTTTAAATGTAGAATATTTGAATGGAAATTTAAGGGATAGATGCATCTTTGATAACAAACCAGTGAAATGCAACTCATCTAAGATTATTGTACCAGACCACTATGATTTCTTAAATTAGAACATCCCTCTGCCTCTTCTAACTTTTCTTTTCAATGAATAGTCCACAAATATTGCAGAAACACAAGAGTACTGAATGGTTCAAAGCTCAGAGATCATTATTCATGTTTTCACAGGCTGCTTTCTAAGATCAATAGAATACATTTTAGTCAAGTTGGTAACTGTTCATTGTATATCCATGAAATTCTAGTTACTTTAGGCAAGGGACAGATTCTAAAAGCTTGTTGTAGATAAAGTCTTTTGAAATAACATCAAAGCGTTTGCTTGTTCAGAAATTTCTATTCTAAATATTTTGGGCAGATCCACATGTATTTTTACATTTATTACAAATGCAACTGCTGAAAGCAATGATACATATTCATTTTAATTAAAATTTACTACTGGGAAATGAATGGCAACTTTTAAAGTCACAGGAGTTTATTCTGGGAAAGAGCCATTTGAAACAATGAAGTGAACTTTTGCTACCATGTGAAAAGAGCAATTATGCCTTTTAAGGAACAGTGCCTGTGAGTGAGTGAGAAAGTATTTTTCTTTCTTGTTTTTTCACATAATTCCAGAAGTTGCTAGGAGTATAGTTCAGCCAGTGGGAATCATAAATGCTCAATCAGTACAGTCTTTAGTCTTTATACCCCTGATCAATTATTTCTAGATGTCTTCTTCCTTCAGAATTTGTGCCTTATTCTTAAAATTCTACCTGAATGTTTTTGTTTATTTGTTATTTTAGCAAATACTCCCTCACTTTTATAGTAAAGTGGGGGAGTATTTACTATTTTTTACTAGTTTGGATTTTGTTTCTGAACATCTATCATGACAGTCACAGGGGTGAAAAAACAGCTTTTCTGCTCTTCTCATACTTGATGTTTTACAAGGTATTAGCATGTGTTTCATATTCAAATATATTGGGAAAATGACAGGTTAAACAGATGTCTCTACAGCAGGACTTCTTAGAGCCTTTAATAGGCTAATGTGCAGTTGTCAATAACTTGTACTTAATGTGGCACACAAAGCACTTTGAGGAACATTGTTCTATGCCATTCTTAAACCTGGCCAAAAAGGAACTATATTAACAATTTTATATGGCACTTAAAAATCTACATATGTTCTTATATTCCTGATTTTATCTAGCCTAAGAGGAAAGCATTAGTATCTCTCTGTATGAGAAACTGGCTCAGAGAGATTAAGCAACTGGCACAAGATCACTCAACTATTATGCGATGTGGCTAGGACCCAAAACCAGGCCTGTTTACCCTAAAGTGTATGTTCCTTCTGGCTCAGTTAGCTGCCTCCAAATGCCAACTTGGATAATAAGGACAATAATAAATAAAAATGACAATTTACTTTGACCAAGGATGGCAAATGGGAGTTGCAGTTTGGATAAGTTAGGAGGTCTTTCTAATAACACTCCAGTAGTTAAATGGAAGAACATAGACTTAAGCTCAGATTGCCAGACTCTTACGTCCAGTGCTCTTACTATACCATTTGGACATGTTGAGGTTGTTGTATTAAATCCCAGCTGAGTAACATGATCTTGTAGTAGCATTAATGATTAAATGGTATAATGTATGTGAAGAATTGAAAGTTCTTTGCAAATGATAAAAAGGTTCTAGAGACAAAGAATGGGTACGAAAATAGAGAACATATAGATTACCCCTTTGGCTATTGAAGAAGATCTTTATTGATTCTGAGTTAGTTCTGAATTCTGATATAGGTCAGGCAAGATTGGTGCCCTTTTCTGAATTTGAGTGGTCATTTTCTGTATATTTGTGTTCCCTCTACTGCATATTCATTAGTTTATTCAGTCATCATATATTGAGCACCAAGTCTATGCAAGGTGCTGTGCTAGTTACTAATTATCCCAAGATGAATAAAATACAGATCTTTTTTCAAAGAATCTACTGTCTGACAAGGAAGATAGAAAAGTAGATAAATAATTTTAACACAAGGAAATAAGTGAGCACTATTATAGAAACAGGAAATTCAAACCACCTAAGCCATTCATTCAGGTAAGACTCTAGAGCAGTGAATGTTGGAACAAAGGTTTGAATGATGAGGAAATCTGCTATCTGAATAAAGTGGGGCATTGGCTGTAAAGTCTTGGATATG